CCCCTCAGCAGTGTACTTCATAGATCTGCCTGTTCTGCTCCCCACTCTGTCTCTGGTGAAACCTCTCACCACCCCTGAGCCTCTGGCCTGTATCCTAGTTCTGTATAAACAAATAAATAAATCTTTAAAAAAAAAATTAGGATGCCACAAAAAAGTTACTTAAATGATGATATTGTGATGCTGGAGAAGATTCATACACTTCATACACATAAAACGATATTCTCTAAAGATAGAAAAAAACTGAATAGTCATAGAAAGCAGTCTAAAAACAAATGATACAAATATAAATCAAGTCTAAAAATACTGTTAGAATTAGCTAAAAAAATCAGCCATGGACTACGAAGACATCGAGAGATCAAACCTTACTATTTTAAGGATAACACCTTGGAATGCACTCTTACTCTCTCTCCCCATGATGCCAAAGGAAACGAGATGGGTAACCACAGCAGCATACAGAAAGAAATGTTCTTATGCCATTTCAATCGATCAAAATGGAAACTATTATTGTAGTTTTACCAATATGATTTTAACTAAATTGAAAGATAACATCCAAAACATATGTAATTTAATAGCTTACTTTAAACAAGGGACATTATCACGAAGTCCATCAGATGAACTGCTACTGGTAGACGGATGAGACTGAGGAGGAACCGGCTGAGGACTGGCGCCCCCTACAGGCGTGGGCAAAGGTGGTGCCAGTTCACCCTCTGGGGACTCCACATCATTGATCTCATACAACAATCGAACTTCAAGCAACTGTTGTAAAAGACAGACAGTTTACTTGCTCCTTGTAATTATCACTCATTTTACTATAGTTTACAGACATACATATATTTCAATGGAAAGGACATTTTTAAGATAAAAATTGAGCAAAATTTCTAATGTATTTAGCAAACAAAAATGTGTCCCACTCAATTTGGAAAAGCAAGTGCATTATGGTTTTAGAATATCTATTAAAAAATTAGAGTACAGGCCCTCCCTGGTGGCGCAGCGGGTTAAAGCACTGCACTGAGAATCTAAAGCCGCTTCCGCATGAGTTCGATTCCCGCCTGCCCTGGAGGTGAC